CCAGAGGGCGCGAGGGAAGAGCGGCTGGAACAACATTGTCTTCTCGCATGACATTTAGTTTGCTTACGACTTCACACACGAAAGGTCTCCGCTTTACTGACATCGCTCTAATAAAAGCGGTCAGTATAGGGACGACATCAATCATAACTCGTCCATTCGTTATTGTCACAATTACAATTTGACATTAAACTTCAGTAGTGACGTACCTTAGTTTATTTATAGTCATTAAGGCTTCTGGAAAGTGAGACAGTTATGGTTTTACAGTTGTTTAAAATTTGTTTACGCGGCAGCAATGGGATCGAATAAACTCCCGGATTCCGCGAAATGCGATGCAAAGGAAAGCATGATAACAAAACCGACGTTATTGCATGAGTTGTTCTCCTCCTACTCCTCCTCCTGCTTCCATTGCTACAACTGCTGCTATTATTATTATTATTATCAATGCTGCTGTTACCGTTTCTACTACTACTACTACTACTACTACTACTACTACTACTACTACTACTACTACTACTACTACTACTACTACTACTACTACTACTACTACTACCACCACCACTACTACTACTACTACCACTACTACTACCACTATTACTACTACTACTACTACTACTACTACTACTACTACTACTACTACTTTCATGCATTAAAGTTACCAACAGCACTGCCGCTAACGCCAACAATCTTTTTTCGTGACTAATGGCACCGCTAGTATGTAGCATGTCTAATAATCATATTAATGCTTATGGTGAATGCCACTTTATAGGTATTAACAGAATTAACATACGTGTGTGCATCACGGATCAAGGGGCGTGGAGCCCCTCCCCTCAACTTGAATGCAAGTCAAATGCAGTTCTAGAATCAAGAATATTCTTCAGGACTAGGAATTTTCAGAAAAAATGTCAGTACGGAGAAAGACACCGGTTCGGTACGGAAGTTGTAGGTCGTGAACATAGCAGGCTGTGACATGATCCATTTCGTCTCATGGGATATGGCCCGTTACTTAGAGAAGAGGTGGCGGGGTAAGCAGTCATTCCAAATCGGTCGAATAACCCGACAACAGTTGGACGTTTACGAACGATAATGTCCCCAGTGTGCCTCATATTATGGTGGGTAAAGGACAGCGAGTTCACGTGAATCAGATTATAGTTGTAGCAGATTAATGCTGTATCTGCCGTTGTTCTTCCTTCCTCAACCTCCTGAGTCCATTGAAAAGACATAGGATAACCGGAGGTGGGGTGGTACTCAGTCGCAGACAAAGTTAAAGGGCCCGTCTAAACTGGCCACTCATCCACCACTGGATAGTTTGACCGTCGTCTCCGACTATGTCCACAGTGTGTTCCAGAGCTAGTTTAAGCAGGTACGGTGACTTGTGCGCGACTTCGTTTATAGCTATAGCAGACCAGCTCACCATCTACCGCACTCGCTTCTTCCTTCCCCACCTGGAACCGGTGTCAAGACAGAGTCGAGAAGACCGGCGACGGGGAAGGGCTCAGGTGGATGACACGACCAAACCCGCAACTCGGCGTCCCAATGCGCACCCCCTAGTCGTCACAGAAGAAGGACCAGGATTTTAACCGAGAGCAAGGGAGCTTGGTGCGAGGTGAGCCGCTCTTAGGTATGCTGTCACACCTGGCTCGGATCACACGGATTGGGAGTCTCATAAAGACCATATTAGGAAGAAGTCATTGCAACCTGACTCCTAAATCACCAGCCGGCAACTCCGCACAAACACCCAACACTGACCGACTGCGAGGACCAAGTTATCCCATCAGCTGTCACCCTCCGAAGTCGCGGCTTTCAATACACCGTCAGATTGTTTATAGTGAGGAAAATGCGCTGAGTCGTCGACCACACTCTTCCTTCCCATTCCCAGGCCCCAGTCACTGTTCGAGCCGGTCAGTTGATAAGTACACGAATGGGCGCGGCGGCTGACATATCTGGTAAACATATCTGCACGCACTACATGCACGACCTGGCCCCAAAAACACGAGCACTGGGATTTAATACAATGGAAGGTTGGGCGTCGTATATCTCACATGCGTGAAAGTACCGTAGGTCACTTTAGGAAGGAGCCGCGTCAGCTTGGCCCCTCGCCCATCAGTCCGCCCCTCTCCACGTGCACACACAAATGGGTATACCGTGTGGACTGGTTTGAGGCGTCGTTCAGCAGCCTTCCAAGTCACGCGACTTGACGCGCCATGATTGCCTCAGCCTCGAACCACACAGACAGCAGATGGGCCGCACGGAGACGGAGCCGAGACGCACACTCCCTACTTGCATGGGAGATGGCAATTGGGTGCATTTGGTGGGTGATGATGTAGTTTGATGAAGGTGGGGGAGGATGTGATTGTGTGATGTAACCGACAGTTGTCTACCGCAGGTTTTCGTGAATGCGCATGTGGCCCATTAGGTCCATGCGGCGGGGGATGTGCGGGTGCAATGAGGACATGTGCGCGACCTCCGTGGGTCAATGTGACGACAAACAGACCATGAAGAAGAAACAGAGGCTGGAGAAAAAGTACTTGCATCTTCGAGATCCAATGTCATTCGCCGAATATAAGAATTAGCGCAATAAATGCCTCAAACAAATACGGGGTTGCTAGGACTTCTTTCGAGCGTCGACTGATCGTAGAATCCATTACGTGTCCCAAGAAGTTTTACGGGTACATACGCAGTAGGAGAAAATATAGGGACGAAATTGCGTGTCTAAAGGATAGCCTCGGAAACTTATTAGTTGAATGGCTGTTGCGACCGAGGACGTCAAGGGTAGCCCACATCAAAGTAAGGAAACGTTGAGAAGAGATCCTGGCGGAGGTAGATATGAACAGATCTGTTAGCAACTCCTGAAACTCATTAAAACGCGGGAGAAGAAGGTACATTAAGTATGTGATGTAGTTTAATAGAACGACATGGATAAGACGAATGCTTATGATAAACGTTAGTGTACACGTGGAAAGAGAAACAGCGGATAGGTTACCCGTCTGGATGGAAGGTGACCCTGACATACTAGCTAAACAGTCGGTGGGGATGCAGCGCTGTGGGCAACTGCAGGGAAGGGCCGAGAGGTGATTCGACGTTGACAGGTACAGAGAGAGACAGAGAGAGAGAGACGAGAGCGACTGTGCATAATGGGAGGGGGGCGTCGGCGGTAGCGAGAGGAAGGGACGCCGGCCGTCTTCACTAGCACGCAGTTACACCATCTCCATCGCCAGATCCGTGGCAAAAGTGCTGCAGCATTCAAGCAACGCTGCCCAGGTCAAGCGACGTTACAGGGCCACAGAAAGTGCAATTACTGTCTCAGTTCGTTCAGTCGGTTTTTACGGAGGAGTCCTCAGAAAACAATCAGCAGTTTGAAATGGACTGAGACAGCCGGGAGCTTCAAATGCGCCAAGATGCTACCATCATTGAAACCGTCGCCTTTTTCGTCGAAGAAGAGAAACGCGTCCTCAGTCAAATAAAACCAGATAAGTATCCTGGACCAGACGGAATTCCTGGGCTAATACTTAAGGAGCTATCAACGGAGGTTTCAAAGCCTCTTTGGACTCTGAGCTGTCGATGATAACAAGAAGGTTGCCCTCACAGTGGAAGACAACCAACCCCGTTTCCTTACATAAGGGAGGTAGTTGGATGGCAGCAAGCAGCTTGAGGCCTATTAGCTTAACTTGCCTCTCATGCAAAATGATGGAAGTTTTAGTAATAAGTACTATACAGCAATTTTGTGAAGAAACTAACATCTTGCAGGATTTATAGTATGGCTTCCGGAGAGGACGTTCCTGCCTCTCAAATGAGTTAGCTTGTCTGGAGATCTGGACCAGGGTTCTAGAAGAGGGTTTTGAGGTCGCTGCCGTGTATATCGATTTCCACAAATCTTTCGACACTGTCCCGCACTAACGCCTTCTTCACGAATTGAGCGCCATTGGCATCCGGGGAGATCTTCTGAAACAGATAAGGGTGTTTTTGGTTGGTCAAAACAGCACGTCTGTATCGGGGATGATATGTCAGAATGGGTGAACGTGACCAGTGGTGGGCCTCAAGGCTCAGCTCTGGGACCATTTCTCTTCATTCTTTATGTAAATGATAGACTTCAGGAACTCCACTGCGACAAAATAAAGATTGCTGACGACGTTAAGCTCTGGCAAGTCATTAAGAGTTTTTACGACCAGAGAACCCCCAAAAAATCTGCATCGACTGAAAACTTGGTCGGCGAAATGGCTTCTGGATTTCAATGTGAAGAAGTGTGCTGCCTTTCATCTGCGTCCATCCAACTCTCATTCAAATGAGAGTTTGAGGACATATCACCTGAATGATATAAGACTCCCCTTAGAATTTTCACAGAAGGAGCTCGGGGTTTGGGCACAGAACAAAGTGAAACCTACACTGCAGTGCCATAGGGCGGCCAAAAACGCCATGGGAGTGCACCATGCAATCAAAAGGACGTTCGTAACCTTTGACCAAGACCCTTTTTGGAGAGTTAACGGCACCTTTGTTCGTCCCCACTTAGAAGATGGCCTACAAGCATGGCGGTCATGACTAGTAAAGGACAAAGCATGCCTCGAACGGCTACAACCTCGTACAACAAAGCTGGTAAACGGTCTAAAAAACCAATCTTACACAGACAGACTGAGTTGCCTTAATTTACTCCCTTTGTGTTGCGGGCAACAAAGAGGTGATTTTATCCTCGTCTACAAGATAATACATGACCTTGAGCATGAACTTGGCTTTGAGGACATGTTTCAGTGGCAACTTTCACCCATTCTTCGTGGTCACTGGATGAAGCTACGGACAACAATGTCCAGACTGAATCTTCGTTCTGAATTTTTCACGCAAAGCTTAATGGAGAAATGGAACGGTCTCCCTCAGTTAGTCGTGGAGGCGACGTCTCTGCAACTCTTCAAGAAACTCTTGGATGATTATTTGTGTCCCCTGTTTTCCCTCGACAGTCTGAATCTGAACTAAATACTCCGCGACACTGCAATTTTTTTCTCTCCGACAATGTTACTAAAATGAATCAAGTACTGTTTTAATAGCGAATACTTTCATTGTTCGTGTACAGTTACTTCTAACGGGCTGACATGTAATACATAGAGTTCTCAAAGGCTTTGCCTATTATCCTTACCAAATAAACTGGATAAACTGAATAAACTAAGGCTGATACATCGGGCTCTGTATGTGCTTCAGGCACTGGTTCGCCACTGTCTATGCCAGGAATTCGAAAGTGACCGACCAGGCCGATACGTGAGGTGAATGTATGGGGAGAGTATGGGCAGGAAAAGTCGACGGTGTCAGTGTCGGTTTCGGAGATTGTGGCAGTGGTGGAATTTCTGGTGGTGGGCGCGGTGGGCGTTGATGTGTGGGTTGGACCAGTTATGGTGTGTGTGCAGGATGTGCGAGGTGTTTCGAGACCACGGTGACCTCCGCTCTCGTGGATGGATATGTGCCCTAGAAGGCCCATGCAGTAAGTGAATGCGTGTGTGTGCAGTGTAGTCAGTTGAGGCGGATACGGCGAGTGCGCGTGGTTGCTCTAGGTACTGCTTCGTCGGCCTCTGTGCGATGGATTCGCAAGTGACCGACCGGATCGATTTGTGAGGTGGAGGTGCGGTCGCAATGGGGACAGGTATGGACCGAGTACACATCGCTGGTGTTGGCGGTAGTGAGACTGATGTTTGACGGTGTGTTGGGGTTTAGTGCAGTAGCGGTGTGTACAGGAGCCGTCGCAGCGAATGTTGTGGCGTTGGAGGGGATGACAATGGAGGTTCAAGAGTGCGGTCAGTGTCGGCGTGAGAGGAGAGGTGCAGGTGTACAGGATGACATCGGGTATTGTCGTTCGGGTGCTTTTTTTGGTACGAAGATGCCCAGTCGGACTGATTGGTACAAGGAACGTCCGCTGGCATAGTGGGCAGGTCGCGGGCGGTTGATTGTTGGCGTTGAGCGGCGGGGCAGTTGAGATTTATGAGCTTCGAGCTTGGCTTTGGCGGCGATGATATGATTGGCTTCGTAGATCCCAGCGCCGGTCTTCACTGCTCTCCTCAAAGTCGGTCGGCCCAGGGCGAAAGCTTCCTAGTTGCCCAGGTCGCTTGGCAAACACTTCAGGGAAATGTTCAGGGTATCCCTCTAGCGTCGGACTTGACCTGCTTATCAGTGGGAGCCCGTGGCGACGTCTGCATATAAAATACGTTTGGGTAACTGCTCGTCGTCCATGTGCACCACATGGCCGCGCCGCAATATTTAACTTACGTGGGGGTCGTTTACCTTGAGGTCACCTGCGAGGCTGCAGGCGAATACGCATTCTGGAGATGACGAGGCGGTGGTCGGTCCACCCGTCGGCACCAGGGATTGTCTTTTTCACCATCACGTCCCGCTGATCTCGCCTCCGAACGAGGACATAGTCCAGCAGGAGCCATTTACGCGACCGAGGGTATAGCCAGGTGGCCTTCTCTCACATCGGGAGGCGGTAGAAGATGTTGGTCAGAATGAGCCGGTATTCTGCGCAAGTTCGTAGGAGGAACAGACTATTGTCACTGAAGCCGTCAAGACCATTGGGACCCAGCACTGCTCTCTAGACAGCATGATCTGTGCCGACGCGGGCGTTGAAGTCACGAAGGACAAGTAACTTATCCGCCTCCGGCATAGTCACCAGGAGAACGTGCAGGTCATCGTAGAATTTGTCCCTTGCGGCGCCAGGGCTGGTCATCGGCGGAGTGTAGGCACTGATGATGGTGGCGAATTCGACTCCTCGGACATGCCCGTGAAGGCTTATCAGTCGATCGTTGATGCCCTGCCGTAGATAAGGCAGTCGTCCCATGATGTCGTTCTGACTGGCAAATGCGACACCCGCGTGTCGTCGCTCTGCCTTAAGACGACAGCTCTAGAATAAGGTGTAGTCGGTACCAACCTCCCCCAGTTGGCCTTGTTCGGAAAAGGGGGTTTCGCTGAGTGCGGCAATGTTCACCCTGTAGCGCTCCAGTTCTCGAGCCATTAGCGCCGTCCTCCATTTCTATCGATTGCTGCCCAGATTGTCGAAAAGGGAACGAGCATTCCAGGCTGCCAGAGGGAGCGGACTCACCTTACCAGCCTGTGGGGTAGGGCGGTGAGGAGGAGACAGAAGACAAAGAGTGCGGTTTCGTGTTTGACAGTTTCAACTGTGGGTTTTGCATCTGCGGTCACGGCCAGCCTGCAGACGGCGTGGGTCCCCAGCATTTGTTTATGGTGCCCTTTCTAGCCTCTTCCCTCTCATTCGGGTGATCAGTGCTCTATTTAAATAGGACTGCTCAGTCATCCCAGGAGGCTGCCAACTCCACCATGGGCCACGACGTTTCTTTGGTGGGAGAACGACCCGAATTAGCCTGTTCCTGCCTAGGACATCGCCGTAAGATTTAAGGGGTGGGGAGTGGGGAAGAGTAGAGAGACGGGATGCAGAGCTTTCTTGTCCCTGTTTAGGCCAACTGGTTGCTGAAATAAAAGCTGTGAGAAAACAGATTCAGAAGATCAGCTGTTAGTGCACAGCAAAGACAAACAGAAACAAATAGACGAAGAGCAAGCAGGAAAGAAAGAGCAAAAGCAAATGCGGACAGAGGAAATTAAACGAAACGAAATTTGGCATTTAACAAGGACAAATACAATCAAGCAGACAGAAGACAAGCAAGCAAAAGCAAGCCAAGTAAAGGACGGCAGAGCAATGTTCGCTTGCCTGGGAGCTCACTTGCCTTATGGCCTCGCGGGGTGCTACAGATGAAATCCCGTCTCGGAGACACCGAGGCGTTGATCCATCCGTCCGTCCGGCCAGCGGAGACGAGACACCGTGTGCTGAGATTCACACACGGGTACTCTCACCTGGTTTAGACCGCCGGTCAAGGCGATTACCGTCGCTTGGAGCTAGGCAGAACCTAGCTTCGGAAAGCCAAATTTGACAAATAGGTGTAAGTTAATAGACGCTAGGCGCAGTAAACACCAGCAAGAAAGTGAGCGACGGTTACGTGCGCCCACAATTGGACAGCCCTACGGGCTATACACCTCATACCCCCCTGCTCCAGAAGTCTCTGAGCAGCAGAGGGATACGCGTAAGTAGTAAGAATACTGCCGTGATCAAGGGGAGTGGACTAGACATTTTTCGCAGTCCCCAACCAGCCAAAGTACTGCGACAGCTAAAGAGATCTCTGGTTGTTAAGTTTAAAGACCCTGCAGCCTACAAAGTCCAAGCCACCACTTTGAACCTATGAAGGCCATGAGGAGAGAGACAGATGAGGAGTTCATTTGGCGATGAAGTAAAATAACCGCTAGACCAAACAACCCCAGGCATTGATTTAATCGCCTCCCCACTGCGAGGTGGTAAGTTACGAAGCATGCAACTTAAAAGTTCGAGAAACAATCCTCTAAAGGCCGAAGCGGCGAGAGAAAAGAAAGGTCGACCGGCGTATCATACCATCAAAACTTTTGGTCTGTTAAGTGCGATTTGCCCTTTGACAGTGCTAATCCGACCGAGCTCTCCAAAATGTCAGTGGTCCAAAAAGCCTGTTCCAGTGGGCCCATCTTATCCCTTCAACCATCAACGCGGATCTCTCAAGTTTGCCAAGCGAAAAACTTCTGCTCTACGTGTCAGAAACACATTTCCTCGTCAAGAAAATGAAACCATACAGGATTCCACCGAAGAATATAGAACTGTGTTCGTGTCTCCTAGACACAGAAATCGGGAGTTTTTTTACCAGTGCAACATTGATGGGTTGCCTTGTTTAAACGTTTCACATCAGAGAATCGACAATTTAGCGGCAAATTAAATTTCTAAGCAGGCCAATCGTACGTTTGTACGTAAGTACGTACCAGCAATCCCGTGTGTCGCGGGGTTTGTTGTTTCCTGTCACTAATTTTGTCCCCTTTTACTGTGTCATTAAATTTCGCGGCATGGTTCTGATTTTTGAAGACGCCGTAGCAGCATTGAAGGCATCCACAGCTGTCACAGCAACCAAACGGTTAATCTTGACAGATGATCTTCCGACGTATATTTGTTGATTTACGTTATCGTGGCCGGGAAAGGACTAAAGTAGAGACACAGAGAAACTAACGTCAGTGTCCCTCCTACTTCATGTGTAGACCGAGGTTCCCCGGAACTCCTAGTTGGGATTTTGCGTATGTGGTGCGCGTACCATCATGTTTGATGGTATAACATTTAATTTGGAGTGAAATCCATAGTATGTTATTTAGCGGAGACATCAATCTTGAGAACCGTCCTCTCAACGAGTTCTCACTTCTAAGTCTTGCAATTTTAGATCCCGGGTTCGACTCAAGTGATCCACACTTGGGGTTGGGTGTAACTGGCTGATGACGGCTAATGAACCAGAAATGGCCATTCTGGTCTCCCTTGTTTCTGTCGACGCCCACAGATTTACATCAACTACTAGTCGCTTTGAGAAGGCCTACGAGGGTTCTAGCATGAGTCCCGATGCACAACGGAACGAGCACGTTCCCTAACCTGATCGGTGAGTGTCCATCTGTCATAATTAAGTTATCTGTCATCGTTAGACGTAAGGCTAAGTGGACGCACTTAGGTACTTACTTGCCCGTAATTTCGCTTTATTCAGCTGTTATCGTACCTGATCTAGACGGTGTCGGTGATGTTACGAATTGCCTCCTCGCGTGACGGTTTGTGTCAGTGGATATGGGGAGGTGAGCTTATCCACTCATTCAACGACGGAGGCCGAATACAGGTTTAATTCCATTTATTGGCGAACTTCGTCGAGTCGGGTTTTGAATTCATCTCCTCTTCATAGCCGCTAGGAAGTCATATTCATTTGGTTTGAGTCTGTATAATTGAGTCGATTGTTGTGTTGGTCCAACACTAGAGTGCATTGTCTCCTGCGATGCGTTAGATGGACTAGAGGTTCCTTGCTGACGATGAACTATTTTTCTACATGAGTGGGACAAGCGTCATTCAGAGACACGCGTCACGTCAGGTATCAAGCCAAATCCCGCTCACCTTGTCTGACAGACTCGTACAGGTCGTTGGCGCATAGGATAGATGAGAGCGAGACCAAAACTGAGGTACCCTTTTGTTATTTCGGCGTATTTATCACTGTGCTAAGTATGACGCGCTTGAGTCTATCATGATGTGCTAAAAGATGTCGTTTTGAAGATAAACAGCTGGCTAGTTAATTGGGCCCTCTACAACGAAGGTAAGACTGCGGTGGCTCATTTTTAGTGTGGTCTTTATAGAACCCCCTACGGATGTGAGATCCGGGCATGCGCGTAACGGTTTAGACGAAGATGTACGGCATGCCAGACAGTGCGTTTAATGTCATCCAAACTAGGCTTGGCTTTGACAGTCCGCGCTCGAGTCTGATACGAGAGAACTTATGCTCACCAATTGATGTATGTAATTATACGGAGTAGATCAGATCCAGTTATTGGCGGGCACTCTGAGATCAATATTTCTTCTTTTCTTGATATCGTTGGTTGCCAAACGTCTTCGGCTTTCTACTGAATCAATCCATGCTAACATGTTGGTTGTGTTGACAGGTCGGCCTAAAAGCTAAATTTGACAGCTTTTTGAATAATGTTGACGCATAAACTTCTCCTTGAAAAGTTAGGAAATTGTTTTCGTTGCTCACGAAGCCCACATCCCTTGGACTGCGTCGTTGCTCTAATCGAAAAATGGGCTTGTAAATGCGCCATCCGTTTAAATGGAGCCGACGCCCCAATGGTTGGTCTTGATTTGCACCCTTGGCTGACGCGGGAATGCATAAATGAAAGACAGGAACAAGATTACTAGTCATATGCAAATAAAAGTATTGGCCGATGTCCGTAAATATGCCGCATTTAGAAAAGATTGCTTTAATGGGATTTAAAAAGATTGACAACAAAGAACGTACTCCCAGATTAATTCATACAAGTCAACACTCTTGATTTAGAACTTTCTCTGGTATCCAGATTTAGCTCGCTGTCGAGGGTGTCACATCTTAACGAACCAGCTGCGCCAGGTGTGTGAGCGCATAATTATGTTCCCGGTCCCTGCTGGTGGTCAGGGCTATGGTTGGCTAAATGAGGACAAACAAGCTCGAAACAGTTCTGTAACAATCTACTACCGAGACTATGGCGCCTCCCCTCTGATATACACACAATTTTGTCGAGACCAGCTTCCTTTGCACCTATTTGAATCGCTGAACGACACGATTTCACACGTTTCTGAAGTCGGAAGACAAAAGAAGAGGAGTAATTTAGACAGAAAATGGATGACCTTTTCACAGAAAGCAGATACAGCCCAGCAGTTTTCAAAGAAAGTCGTAAATCTATCCTCCAGAGTCCTCACGACAACGGAAGAGAGTGTGCTATCCAAGGGATTGAAGTACAATTTTTCCGACTCGAACTATTTGGACTTTCTTGCAACCTTGGAATCCATTATTTCAACAGCAAACTTCACTGAAGACGAACGGTCTATCATCCGAAATAGTACTGTACAAGCCTTAAGAGACCGGAACCGGTTTACAGTATTATCACTTAGAGAATAAAGGCGATTAAAGGCCTTAAAATGGACCAAAATATTATCATCCCTCCCGCGGACAAAGAAGGCTCTATTGCCATTTTGAACAAGACGGACTACAAAGAGAAAATGCTGTCATTATTAGACGACAGATCTAATTATCAGCCACTCCCTACAGACCCCACCAAAGCGCAAGCTTCATCCATCGACAAAGTGTTGAAGCGTCTCACAGGGAAGAAAGAACTGTCAGAAGACATCGCAAAATCGCTCAAACAAACTGAGCCGACCATCGCGAAGATCTATGGACAGCCCAAAGTCCACAAAACCGAAGTCTCACTTGGACCGATTGTATCACTAATCGGTGCGCCTAACTACAAAATTTCCAAATTGTTATTCCAGAGACTTCATCCGCTCACGAAGAATTGTGAAACTTCAATAGAGAATTCGACAGAATTCCTGAAGAAATTGCAAAGGATCACAATTTCCGCCGATGAGATAATGGTCTCTTT